ATTGTAGGTTCCTCAATTTGTTGGAAAAACATCAAGACGCATACTACCAATTGAAGGAAGAGCTTCAAACTGACTACAAAACGCCAATAAATAAATTAAATTTTAGATTATACGAGATTTGGCTTTCAAACTGGTTTGTCACTAACCTCACCTGTTTTACTGTAATATATTCTCTACAAATATTCAGAGACAGGACATAGTATTCCCTTTGTATGCCATCAAATATTCCATGTGCTTTTTATTGTATAAAATTTGAACGACAAACACTCGGCAGATCCATTTGCTTTGCTTTGTAGCAGCACTCATTTATGCATCACTTCACATTCAACCCCATTTCGGGCCGGGCGGGCAGCTCTTTTTTTAGCAGCCACACGCACAGACGGCTAAAGCTTAGTCGCTGTTGAAATTAGAAAAGATTAGAGTATACGAGTATATTAGTGTATGTGTGACAGCTATTGGGTAATTGAGAATCCTTGCTGCTACAGGAAACCTTAACAATGAAGGTTAAGCTTTTGTAAATACACACAACGGCTCTAGGTTAAATGGGCTTTTAGCAAACAAATTTTTGCAAATGTATGTATAAATACGCGTATATCAGTCTTTATCATACGTCTGTACGCCTGGGCTTAAGTCGTCATAAAGTCATATGATTCTCGATATCCTGGCATATTTTTTTTAAATTTTTTTTGTAGACACACATACATATGTACACGTATATGCTTGCATAGTCTAATTATATCTTTTAGCTTTCAGTTCTTTAATCTCCAGAAGCCGTAAAATACGCCTTGGCATTCAATACTCTCTTTTAAACCTTAGCTTTCATAACTACCAACAGACTCCAATTTCGGCGGCGGCTTTGAGCGTTAATTTAATTTAAGTACTGAAGTTTTCAAAACAGCACCATCGGCAACACTTCACGCGATTTTAAATATAAGACAGGCGAAGCTAGTGATAAGAATTGTGTCAAATCAGCTGAGAGTCAGGAAAGTATAAAGAAGCTCTTGGTATCTCCATTGGTTGCAGACGGAAGCAGCAACAAACACAAATTTCAACACAAACTTTTGTACATATTTACAGAAATTTTGTAAAATTAATAGCAAAGTGGGGGCTGCTGTTTAATGCGCCCAAGTGGACATTAGAAGGTCATTCGTGATGCCAAGTCACTGCAGTATCTATCTTTATAGCCGATATATTTGCTTTAAAAATGGCCACAGAGCTACTGCAGGTAACGACCCCATAAAAAATAGAAATTCACTTTTACGTAGATAATTAAGCGTCTATTTAGAGTTTTGTTTTTCTTATAGCAGGAAGTCGGAAGTCGTTGGCTTAGGACTTGGCAGTTCCTCTCAGAGAAAGGAAACGTGTACAATAAACACTTTCCGGCTTGTAACCTATGGACATGGCATAGCCTATGTGGGACTTCCAGTCTTACCTGTAACATATAACTCATTATATACTTGTACAGTCTGGCAACTTTATCAGCTCTCTCGCACTTCCTCACTTATAAATCTGCTTGCATGAAGAGCCAGTTTTGCATAGAAAATAGAAGACTTCAGTTCTTTAATCTTCAGAAGTCGTAAACTACTCCTTGGCATTCAATACATTCCTTTAAACCTTTTTTATTGCTAATTAAAAAATAATGACGAATTTTATATTTTCCAAAACTACTTTCTTGAAAGAACATTAAAGTACTCCGTCCGACTTGCATCCCTGCACTTGAGGCTACCTATATGGGGGAATCTATGTAAGAGTAAAAGCATGCCCTTCGATCGATTAAAATCTGAACATTTGCTCCGTCATATCCATACGATTATGAAGGTCTCATATACATAAGATCTTCATATATTTTCCGTCTTTGACAACGCTTACAGAGCTGGATAAACCGTCATTAAACTAGTTTCCAATTGCCGCCGTAGTGATTCTGTGTTAGATTTCTATTTGGACATTGTTGTTGATGTTAATTCTGGTTCTAGGATAGACGAAAGTTACGACTGTCAACACTGACATGGGAGCCGGTCCGCGAATCTGCTAACTGTTTGTTTGATGTTGGCACATATTTCGTCTTGCCCTCGTTCACTACCAGACCCATACGCTTCGCTTCCTTATGAAATTTAGAGAAAGCAACGGAGTACAGAGCGGTACCTTCTCTATTCAGCTCTGCGGCTCGTACTATTTTTTGCTGAACTAAATTAAAGAAGTCAAACGATAAGAAATCACCTGACCTGAAACCTTGCTAAGTATAGAACGGCGCTGAGTTGTCCTTCCCGATCTTGATGCAGCTTTTGGATTTGCTTAACGCCAGTTTACACAGACTTAGCTGCACAATGGCAGCCAGTTTTCGTGCTGTCGAAGGCTACATTAAAATCTTAATATCGACGAGGAGATGGTTTGTGTCGATCCTTTTTTCGTGGTTCTTTACAATAATCTGGCGTATGGCGAATATCTGGTCATTTGTTGATTTACCACGTCTAAATATACACTGATACCGTTACCTGATACGGTTACCTGTTAATCGGGGCACAACTTAGGTCTGGATAATGTAGCAGGTTAGGCTCCTATCTATCCAGATTCGACCCCAGCATACCCAACGTATACCCTGCATGTGGAGAGTCGCCGCCCGACCATAACCACCTAAACCGACACATCTAGCCCCCCTCTCCCTCTGGTCCAATTCCGTCGAAACAGCACGTTTCCTGCACCTACCTTAAATAACTTAGATTGACTAAACCTGTGCCTAAGCGAAGCTAGTGAACCGCTATAACAACAACAACAACCCACTGATAAGGTCCTTATAAGCGATATTAAGAAGGCTTATTCCTCCTTGCGGTTTAGGGGCTCAAGAATTTAACGGTGATAAGGCATGCCTGTTGCAAGAGGCGACTAAAATCCAATAGTCGGGTCTTTATACCGGAACGACCCGGATTTTTATCCGGCCAAGGACTGTCACTCCCGCAAGATTCGCCAAAAAATACTTTGGGGAATATTTTTGAGGTTACAAAAACTACAGAAACCACAATAAGAACAACAGACTTTTTCCACTATAATTGGCGAATGTGAATTGGGAAGAGCAGACTTAGGTTCCAATCGTCGGGCATGCTTTCATCCGATCATATTTTGCAAAAAAGCTGATGCATGCACCTTATCAGTTCTTCACTGCTGTATTTGAATAGTTCGGCCGGTAATCCATCGCTACCGCCACTTTGTTAGGTTTCGAGCGGACGATTGCTATTCAAACTTCTTCATAGTCAACATTTATGCCATCGTATTCGTTTGGTGAATTGGATTCGCCATCTCTACTAAATATTATATCAACAATAAAACGACAAAATAATGTTTGTTTGGATGTAGTTTAGATTACTTCTTACTTCCATCAAGATGGTTCACGTGGTAATTTATTTATTAATTTGTAAATTGTATTTGCAATGTTTAGTTTAGTATAGTCATAATGGTAATAATTAGCATATTTCAATTTTTTTTTTGTTTTGTTTTGTTTTTTTTTTTTTTTTGAATTTCTTAAGACTAACTATTAAACTAGAACTTTTTCATATATTTGTAAATTTTTGTTTTTTATGCTTTTAAATTAATATTTTTCGTTTTTTTTTTTTTTGTTTTAAGTTTTACAATTACCATAATTCGTTTTGTAGTTGAAAAACACACATTTATTTTCAAATTTAAACGTTGTAATTTTTAGTACTCGTACACTAATATATAATATTTATGTTTGTTTTTACTTTTTGTATATATGTATGTATGTATGTGTGTGTGTTTGAATGTTTGCATAATACAAAACCGTATTTTAGTTATTATTAAAGTCAATTGTTTATTTTAATTTTATTTCAAGGTTTTTATTGTTTCATATATGCAAATTCTTTGGTAGCTGAACGCTGCCAAAATAAAATGAAGATAGATATAATATTAATTATTGCTAAATAATCTAAAGGCAAAAAAATATGCATGTACGTACTTCTTATACATATGCAGCAGAAGTGATACAAAACCACAAATATTATTGTAATAATAAAATTTGACTAAAGTAATAAAATTTACTAATTATAAGTTTAGGTGTACCCCAGATAACTAAATGTTGTTTAAAAGTTGATTTTTTTTTTTTGGATTTTTTTTGTAGTTTTTGTTTCATTTTTTGCGATTTGCCGTTTTCAACATTTAGTTATTTCTTCTTGTATTTATTTATAAACATTATTTCTTTTCATTACATTAATTTCCTTTTTTTTTTGTTGTCGTACATATCATTTCCATATTGCACTGTGAAGTAATGAATTCATGTAGAGGAGGGACGTGATAGTCGACATTTTTCTTTCGTTTTATTTATTTATATTTAAATGTATTTATATTTGTATGCTATAGAATTTTATGCTATTTCAAATTACCAACTAATAAACAAAAGAATTTTAGTATTATTTTATAAATTTAAAATGCTACAAAAATATTTAATTCAATATTTTTTATTGTAATAAAAATATAAATTTTTATTTTTTTTTTCAATATTAATAATTAATAAAACAGTTGTTTACAATTCAATAACTGTACGCGCTAACATACAAATCTGCACAGTTTAATTAAGATTTAACGGTAAAGTAAAATCAATTCTAATGATGTTTGCGAATATGAACGTCTAAGACTAAGACAGATGGAATACCTAAATGTAAATAAAAGTAATTTTGTTAAAAAAAAACCGCAAAAAACACCTTCAATCAAAGTTAATAGCTTCAAAAGTTTTAAAATATTATTATTTTTTGTTTTTTTTCGGAAGTACATGAGTGTTTGCATATTTTTTTTTGTAATTTTATTTGTATTAAGAAAATAATAAAAAAAAAAATAAAAATAATAATAATTTGCCAGCAAATTTCATAAAAAAAAGTTGCAAAATTTTTTAAATAAACACATTGCTCTTTTTATGCTCAAAAATGTGTGGTGTTTATATGCATTTCGTATGCCAATTATTTCAATTTTGGTTACACATTTATTTTTTATTATTATTATTTTTTTTTCTTCAATTTATTCCATTTCTATAATTGAAGAGAAGAGAACGTAAAGTATGTATGGTGAAAAGTGGTATCGAAATTCCTCACTCGTATACCATTCTAATATATACTAATTGCAATACATTCATTTTTTTTATTTATTTCGTTTCAACTACTATGAAAATACATACTATTAAATTTTTGTGGATTTTCAAAATTTCATAAACGTCCTAAATTTAGTTACTATTCATCTCAATTATTTGTAGAATGTTTAATCTGATGCGCATGATTTTTTTTTTTATTTTTATTTAATTAATATCTCCTCTTTTATTTATGAAACACATGCATATGTAGATTTTATAATTTGTTAGAAACCATTTTCAGATGGAAACTAATATGCTTTATAAAGAGAGGGAAGAAAAATGAAATAAAACTACCTGATAAAATGCGTAAAAGCTATTATGTACCACAGCGTCTCCTTTATTTTTTGTAAACATTTAAATATATATATATATATAATATATCTATATGTAATACGAGATGTTTAGTAGAAAAGAAACTGTTTTGAGTTAAATCAAAACTTTAACTCAACGAAAAAGTATATACTTTTAGAGAAAAAGTTGGAGAAATACTTTTAACAAAAACAGTAGAATACATTTTGCGATTTGAAATGTTTGTTAAAAAAATATATATTATATAACTTTCAATAGAACAAACATGAAAATAACTTTTGTTGGGTAACCAACAACTGTTCGGAAGCATATTGAATTAAATACACGGTTTTTATACTAAAAATAAAAGAAAAATAATAAGTTTACTAAGAACTTTATTCACGCAGGAATTTTTATAATCATTTGAACATTAGTGTTTATACTCCTCTTTTCATAGTATTAAAAAAAAAAATAATCACATATCGCCCCTGCAACAAATCAGTGACCCGTTTAGCGAAACTGCTAGCAATAATTTTGTCAGTTTTTAAAACCTATTCATTTAATTAGCTTTAAGATTTGAAGAGTTCATTGGTAGTTTTCGAACTAAAAGCTCGAAAACTATTTTGATTTATTTGAATTTTAAAAATTTATCAACATTTGCTGTCAAATATCTACTTGTTTCCGTATCAAAAAAAAAAAAATATATATACACATATAATGGGTATTCAAATAGAAAACTTCTTCTAAGCAAAAGTAACTTAGCTTAAATAATTAAAGCGATTTCCAACTGAAAATGGCAGACATATTTATATATTTTATAATGCATTGCTTTAACATTCTGTTTTTTAGCATCAACACACAAATTGTTACCCTAAAGACTACTTATCGCTTAATACAATATTTATTTAATAAACTTTTTATATAATACTCATTTAAATTACAGACACATACACGAAGAGTTTGAAGAGAAAAACTTTCATATAACCATAATACACCAATCAATTTTTAACTTTATTAATCACTATCGATGCATATGCTGGTCCTTTCAACACTCTTTTTATTTAAATCAGCAACTTCGAGTACCCATATTTGATATTCGCGAAAATTGTATTAAAATTCGCTAAATTCTCTTTTACAAATCATTAAAACATTTTACGCCTCAACCGTGAAGGGATCACGTGAATGATGTATTTTTAAATGTTTATTATGATTGGTTTTCGTTGTGGAACTTTTGCCGCATATGCTGCACTGGAATGGCCGTTCGCCTGTATGTATACGTCGATGTTCGATGAGATAATAATGACGATGGAAGGATTTTTTACACAGGTCACAGGTGAACTTCTTGTTGCCATGATGTTCGCGTCGATGACGCATATAATTGTATTTCCTTATGAATTTACAACCGCAATACTCACATGTATACGGCTTGATTTGTTTATGTGCATTCATGTGATTCTTGAAATCCACCTCACGGACAAACGCTTTTGGGCAGTGTTCACATTTGAATGGTTTCGATGTGCGATTAGCATGCACCCATGAATGAATTTTCAAATTCCATTTTGTCGAGAATGATTTATTACAAATGGTGCAATCGTGTTGGGTATCCATCGAATGTGTTGCTATGTGTGCCTTAATTGAGGATTTGGCAAAGGTATGCTTGCACAATGGACACTCCACGGGTTCGGCATAGTCAAACTTATCGGAATGGGCTAAACGTATATGACGACGCAAGGAGTTGGCATGCACGAAACGATCACAGCAATATGGGCAACATTTGGGTTTGGCGTCGTGGGTTTCTTTATGCCAAAGGAAACGCGCCTTTGATGGCAATACCTCACCACAATGGCAAACATATTCTTTTTTTCTTATAATCTGTTTACCGTGTCGTTTACGATGTTGAGTCAAATTCGAATAGCGTTTAAAATATTTGCCTGTAAAGAGGTATAATTTAATTATTATTTCTTAAGATAGAACTTTTTCATATTAAATTATTTACTTAACTATTTTTAAATACTAAAAAAAAAAATGTTGGTATGTTATAAAAGAAAAATATATATGACCCACTTACCACATACTTTGCACTTCAGTGGCGTATGTCCAGTATGCATACGCATGTGCTCAACTAATGCGCTCCGCACTACAAATTTCTTGTCACAAACATTACAACCAAATTCTTTCCAACCCAAGTGCCGTTTCAAATGTAACGAAAAATTCTTCCAACGCTGAAACGTTTTGCCACATGTAAAACATTCGGCAGGATGTTCGCTTAAGTGTGCATCGTACAATTTGACCGATGTAAAGTTTCGTCGACAAACGTAACAGAAGAATATGGATTGTTCAATGAGTTTCTGTTCCATTTCGCTAAGATTATGGCTGTCTTTCAGCGTGGATATATTATAGGAGACCAACATGCGGTAGAGTGCAGCCAATTTCGTGGCTGGTGTAGTTAGCGCGAGCGGTTGGATTAGCGGTTTTGTATCCACCGCATCGCCAGTGCCGCCTTCGCCTTCACCATTTACGTTTGCACCATTTACAGGCACTAATGCCATGCTTTGTTTGTCGTCCATCAGTTCTAGCTTGGCATCAATGCCTGCACCGCTACCTGCTGGTGGCGCGGCCGTAGCACTTAATGAATGGTACGCATGATCAACCTCAATTTTTACAATACCCTGTTTAGAGTCCTCAATGAATTCCATGCTATCTGAACGCACAAGTGAACTACTGCAACCATCGGCCATATTCACCACCACCACATTGTCAACATCACCGCTGTGAATTGCGTTGGTAGTAGATGATGCAGCCGCAGCCGCATCCGAGCGTTGAACACATATCAAACGTCGATTTTGACGCACATAATTATGTTGTAAAATCATGTGGGAATTACGATCCTTAAGCTTCGAAAATTCGGCTGTGCAATGAGTGCACTGATAGACTTTCTTGCGTGGTCGTCTCTGTTCTACGATCAAAGCAGTGTTGTCAGCATTGGGAGCTACAGCAGCAGCTGCGCTTGATGTGCTGCCAGCCAAAAATGTTGCGGAAATTGCAGAATCTACGCTTTGTTGCGATTGTTGTAATGGTTCTTGCGTATTTTGCGCTTGATTTTGTTGAGGTTGATGCAATAACAGCTGTTGTGATGTAATTGTAGCAGTTGGTTGAATGCGCGACGTTGGCGTTTTTTCCACTCTGCTCATGCTACTGCCATTACCACTATGACTATCCCGCTTTCGTTTCTTCATTTTATTAGCAGATGAAGTGGATGGTAATGCATCGGTATGTCGTGCAAAAAGCTGGAAGTTACCACTAGCACCATTTGCTGCAGCTGAGGTAGTGGCTTCCAAAGGAAGACGAAAATCAAAGCTAATTCAGGGAGAAAAGCAGATTTAAGCGTTAATGAATGTTGAAATTTGTGTGTATAAAAAGCTATATGCTGACCTTTTGGCTGATCGACCCGCACCAGTTGCAGCAGCCGAAGCACTTAGATCCTGTACAGTGAAATACTCATCGTGGTTCCAACCATTTTCGTGTTGAAATATTCCAGGAAAAGTTGTTTTAAAGAAACGCGCAGAAATTTCACCATACATCTATATAAATATGTATTTAAATATGTAACAAAAATTAAAATAACTGTCTATACCAACTGATTGATTTTAAGTAAAATTACGATGAAAAAGTTAAAATGATATTGAAATAATAATTGGTTGGGTACGACTAAAGCAGAATTAGTGTGCCGTTAGAGATAAGTGAGTTTTTCGTCCAATTTCGACAAACACGCATATGAAACCTATACAAGGTCAAGCATTGCTCGTATCAAGTTTTGTTAAGATCTGGAATTTAAGAACTCATAGGACGCTTCTCCTCCCATCAACGCGGACTGACCCACTATCAAGTTTGGATATATATGTATGTATATACATATGTATATGACTATATCTATTATGATTAGCACTTTGTAACGGCTAAAGCAATTTGTGATTTGCGTCTTGATGCTTTCCCCAAAAATGGAGGCACTTACATTACATTCTTAGGCGCCTACGAACGGGCGATCGATTTTTATGAAATAGACTTTAAAATACACTTAACGTATTACAAACAAGTCTTATTAAACAAAGCTTAATATGAGCAGTGTATTCGGATATAACTCCCCCTCACTCACCGGTTGACTCCAGGAATTTTCAATATCGCAATTGCTCTCCTGTCCAGAAATCTCTCCCTTTGCCGGCATCTTTTCATCTGTGCGTATATTAAGTGCGTCCGCTGTACAACCGCCAGCCAAGCTACTCTCCGTGACCGCAGCGAACGATGAAGAAGTCGAAGATGGCGCTGCAGGCATACCAACCAAAACTTCTCGTTTACAAGTATCCAAATCCAAGTATTTACCGACATCAGCGCCATCTACGGCTGCATTACAATCAACAGCTAGAGCAGCATCAAAATCTGCATTTGCCGTACTCAACGCATGATGATACCAATGCGATGCATGTGATGCACCTATTTCACAGCCGCTAGCGCTGTGTACCCCACCAAAGTGGTTGGTATGGGTTTGTTGCTGTTGAGTTGAACTGGTGGACTCGTCCGTATGAATTGTATTACTACCGGAAGCAAGTGTTGCAGCGGTGGTGGCATCTTGTGCTGCTTGTTGATATATGGCTGAGAAGTTACCACCTTTGGTATCTGTTTGTTGTACACCATTACCGGCGCCTGCGCCGCCGATCGGGCCACCATGACCATAAAGAAAACTGAAGGGATAATCGGTGAAATTGTGATTTAATTGCGGTTGGTGGTGATGATGCTGATGGTGCTGTTGTTGTTGTTGTTGTTGATGATGATGTTGCTGGGCAATATTTCGATCTTTAGCATGCGAAGTGTTGGTGGCGGTGGTACTATTGGTGGCAGTAGTGGGTATATCGGAGGCCGACTGCGATTGTGAATACGAGGATGAAATTACGATTTCTTGCACTTCATCGTGTGCAATAAACTCATCTTCGCAACGCAATGCTGCATGTGACTCGTCGCTATTTGTATTTATATTAGCCACACTCGCTGCTGGCTTCTGATGATCTTTCGCTATTTTCGATGTGTTTGAGAATATCGAGGTGGCGGAAAGGAAATTGGCGCCACTGGTATTAAGCGTATCGTGTTTCTTTGAATTGGCAAAGTCTAATAAAACATGTGCGTCATCAGTCGCGGCCGCATTGTCATTGGAATGAGTAATCTCTTTAACTTCTTCCTTGAATGGTTGCAAATATGATGTTGTTTGTTGGGATTCCTTTTCGGTCTTGCACTGTACAATCGGTATAAAATTTTCAGGATTTGCGGTTAAATGACTTTCCAGTATACTGAGACTCAAGTTATTTCCATTCATGCCAATTCTATTGTCGTAAGCTGATGACGTCGGTTCACTTTTTATCAGCTTCTGTACAATTGCATTATGTGTGGGTTGATCTCCTTGCTGTTGTTGTTTCTTGTGTATTTTCTCTTGCAATTCCTGTTGTGCTTTTGTAGATGTTGTAGGTTGTTCGCTATTTGCTTCTTCCGTAATTAATTGGGACGTTTCTCTATTATTAATGGAATTAAAGTTGTTGCTTTTGTTGTTGTTGTTGTTATTGAGGTTAGCATTTGCATCAGTCTTTGTTACTTTTGGCTTGATAATCAGCTTCTTTGGGCCTCTCTTTTGTACTGGCAGTGATGTCGTCAGTGGCGCTTGCGTCTCCACCAAACTCGCTTCTATTTTCTGTTGCTGTTGCTTCTGCTGCGAGAAACCACTTCGGTCTTGCACATCATCCTGTTCTTGCTGTTGCTGCTGCTGCTGTCGCTCGCTCTGTGCATGCTTCTCCTCCTGCAGTTGTATGATATGCTGGCGCGATAAATCTTGTATAATTATTGATGTCACTTGTGGTTGTGATGATGCTGTCGACTCATCGTTAAATATATTTTGTGATTGTGTTCTTGTTAACCCTGGAGCTAGCGTGGCATGTTGCGTCAAATCCTTTTGTGATTGCTGTTTTTGCTGTTGCTGACTAGTTGTAGCCATGCGTATAACACTGGTCACGTGACTCGAGCATTTTGCCGCAGCTTTGGTGGATGTCGTTGCAGGCACAGCAGCGCTGGCGTCCTTTTCGTCAATGTCACTGTCATTTAATCTAACCTTATTGCTACTACAATTATTTTCAACTATATTTTCAGTCTCATTTTTGTTGGCGATTGTAGGTGGTTCAATTACGGTTGGCGCGTGAAACTCATCAAATTTGTCTGGTGATTCAAAGTACTTATCTTTTTGTTCGTCAAATTCTTGTTGTTCTTCCTCTTCATTTTGGGGCATCTCGTAGTCATCAGGTGGCTCTTCTTTCTCAACTTTCAACAAAGGTATAGGCATTGCGCCTGATAATGTACTCATTTTTTCTGTTATTTTACTGGATGCTATTATATTTCCAACCAAATCCAGATATTCATCCAAATTCAATTGTACATCACTCAATACAGTTATTGTGTTTTTGGAGTTGCGTTTGCGCGACGAACCCGCTGAACTGGAACTGGAACTGGTTGTTGAGCAACTGGGTACATTGGAGTCGCTGGTATTAACATTTGTTGAATGAGAATTTGATGCAGAGGCGGTCTCGTTGTTTAAACGCCTAGACGTATTATTTAAAGATGTGGACTTATCGCAGTTTGTATTATTGTTGCTGCTACTGTTTGGACTTGTCATTTCAGCCTTATCATTGCCCACATGCACTTTTGTTTGTACCTTTCCATCAGCTGATACAGCACTCGAGCGAGGCCGTTCGTTTTTTTCCTCTACATTAGATTGGGTTCCTCCATCGCTTTCAATATCCATAGGTACAACAATGTCATTTGTTTTCGCTAGTTCATCGGCTGTTGTTGAAACCTTCTTTTTATCGTTGTCTTTCCTATCACTATCTTCATCACCATCGTCCTCTTCATCATCATCATCATCCATTTCGTCATCTTCGTGTATATGTAATACACTTAATGGCGATTGATATATACGTTCAATCACCGAAAATTCGCCATTATCCTTCTCGACACATTCAACAATATGTTTTGGAGTCTCTTGTACTATGAAATCACCATTGTCACGTTCCAAATAATGTGCTACCGGCGATTCAGCATAACGCAGTACTGAACTGGATGAAGTTGATTGAGTTGCCGACAATAGCAGTGAATTGTATGGAGAAGATATTTGCCTTACACCGACAGCAGTTGTCATTTGCATATTAACTGGAGCCGAGGATACAGATGTTGCAGCGGTACTGGCAGGAGTACAAGTTGGATTAGTTGTTGAGGCGGTCGTGTCGGTGCACGTTGTTGTAATGCGTTGTACGGTTGGGATGGATTTGATTGGTATACCAAAATGTTGTAACGAAAGTGGTATTTGTTGATGGAGTGGTTGCAAATTACTTGATGCACGTGTAGGTGGTGGCGGTGGGGGAAGCAATTCAGTTGGTTTCGTTCCGCTCACAGATTTTACGCTCAGGTTTGGTACACTTCCAATGGTATGCTGTTGATTATGCTGATGTAGCAGTAGCGATGTTGACAAATTGCTTGTCGCTTGTGACTGCGCTGATGTCATTGAGGAACGCTGTTGAATTTGACGTGTTAGCTGCGACTGGTGATGTGGTGGCTGCTGTTGATTTTGTTGTTGTTGTTGCTGTTGTTGATTTTGTTGTTGTTGCTGTTGTTGATTTTGTTGTTGTTGTTGATTTTGTTGTTGTTGCTGGTGATGACGCTGCTGCTGCTGATGGTGTTGTTGCGATTGTGGATGCATGAGGTTTTTCTCCACACTCACATGTTTACTTTTGTTTTGGTTATTTTGAGATCGAATTTGACTTATCGCAGTACCATAAGCAGGCGGTGGTTTTTGATGTTGCATTTGGGCTGATGCGTGAAATGGGAACAGCTGCATAAAAAGATGATAATTGTTATAACAAAAAAAAATTACATAAAAATAGTATTTAATTAGTCTAATCATTATGTATACCTGCAGAGAAGGCGGTGGTGCGGGTAACGCTGTTGAATAATATATTTTAAGATTCTGCTGCTGTTGCTGTTGCTGTTGCTGTGGCTGCTGATTGTGTGTTGGTTGCTGCTGAGGATACTGATGTTGAAGCTGTTGATGCGGTTGTTGCTGGATCGGATGCATTTGAACATGGCGATTTGATGCAACATTATTTGCATATAGTGTAGTGGTTGTATGCGTTGGATGTAATAATTTATTTTGCACTTGTCCGACCACCAGTGGAATCGAAGCCATTGTTGGTGGGGGTGGCGGTGGCAATATGCTTCGTTGCTGAGCAGGTCCAATATTTGTGCTTGCATTATCCACAGATAGTTGTTTTTGTTTCTGTTGTAGTTGTTGCTGCTGATGCTGCTGCTGCTGCTGCAGCTGCTGCTGCTGATGATGATGATGATGATGCTTTTGCTGCTGCAGCTGTTGCCGTTGTTGTGTCTGTTGGTGAAGATGCCGCTGTTCTAATTGACTTGATGCTAATTGTTTTTGATGTGTTTGGTGGTAACGGTTCGCCGTGTAATTGTCAAATTGACCTTGAGCCTGTGCTTGCCCAGCGTCGCTTACCACCTGCAAGGAGGCTACGTGTGAAATTTTAACCGCCTTGCTCCCACTAACATCATTCGACTTAACCGTTGCACTATCTTCCACCACAGCTGCGGGCTTTGCGGGTACGGCCACAACATCAACGGGAGTTCTAGCAGTTGTTGAAATTGTTACAGTACTTGCAGATGATGATGTCGACGGTTTAGTGATCGCTGATATTCCACTAAATGCAGCTGCAAAGTTTTGACTATTTATTGCAGTTTGTCCTGCAAAAGCCGATGCAGTACTGTTGACTGTTTCGGAATCTGTAGCGACTGTAGCGACCCGTGCCACGACTGGCTTCTCATCTTTATCAGTTTTCGCTGTGCTAGCTCCACTGAGAGATGCCGCAAGCGCAGTACTGGCAGCACTGCCTCCACTCCCCGAAATGGTCATTTGTACAAGTGCCTTAATTACTTGCTCTTTAGGATGTGTCTCTAAATGATCGGATAGATTCATGCCAGCATGCAGAAAGAGTGTGCATACTGGACATTGTACGTTTTCCCCCATTTTGAGTTTTTTTTTTTTTTGTTGCTTTGCTCCGTTTCGTAATTTATGAGTTTGTATATTGAGCTTAATGTAATAATGCCGGTGTGGTTGTTATTTGCTTCAAGTTGGTTTTAATCATAAAATCATTTCAAAGTGATTTAAATTCATCTTCATTAAAACATCGGTATATTTCCAAGCGAGGTTTTACAAAACTGAAAATATAAAATAACGTTTGTTTTTTTAACAGATAAATTAACTTTATACTTTTATTAGGTTTTATCAAATATCTAATGATCTACTTTGAGATGACACATACTTCGCCTAAAGGTGTGCAAAGTCAGTTCTTAAAAGCTTATACTTTTTTTTACTGCATAACTCCAGGCGCAAGGTGTCTGAATATAAAACATCTGTCAAGGTATTACATATCATATTTATTGTATATAAGTTCTGACTGAAGTTTGACCCGAAGTTAAGGTTAAATTAAAAAAGTTCTCGAGTCAGTGGAATGGAATAGTCTCCAAACTTACTTATTCAATATTTCATATATGTATTGTGTAAACGTTCTGGAGTTATTAAAAATTAGCTGTAAGTTAAAAAAAAAAATCTTTATTTTTGGATAAAATTTCTAATTCTTTATTATTAAAGAAAATATTTACAATTTGTGCTTAAAAATTGTATACATACGAACTTAAATTTGCGCTTGTTGCCGACTTAATGAAATATGAATTGATAAAATAAACAACGATTGGGGTCGTTATTCGAGTTTGACCTTCAAATTGTATATTTAATCGACTATATTTAAATTACTCTGTATGGATGGCATTTATCACACGAGTAACCGTGTACTTAAGTCGTCATACCTGCACACATAAGAGCGCAAGCAAAATGAAATATATAGATATTATAAGCTCGTTTCAAATATATAATATTCGAATATTTGTGAAAAAAATCGACACTTGTAGCTCTTGTGATTGAAAATTTGATTGTCAAGCAGAAATTAACTTCCTTTAATCACAAAAAAGGCAGAAACACCCATAGGCCTGCACCACAAGAACCTACGAAATACGAGTACATACAAATTAGAATTAATAAAAAAGTGTTGTTCAACAATCCGAGAAATTATCTGTTATACGAAAGTATATACATATAAACAAGTATATGAAGATACACATGCATATTTGTACTTATATAAATATTTATATTTACATTTGTATGTGCACACATGCACATGATTGCTCGCTGCTCGGAAGATCACAACTTAAGAGTATATATGTAAAATACTCGAAAAGGAACAATCCAAGGAAGAGAATAAACGATTGCAGACCGTAAAACCGAATTCGATAAAAAAAAATATATACTACATATGTACATACATATGGATTTTGTGAATTTGTATGTCTCTGAAGGGGAGCAGAAGCAAAGCATGGGGCATATTAAAAAAGAACACAATCATAAGCGGTGTGGTGCTCACATTGGATATATGTATATGAATGTTTGTAAACACTTGCACATGCACATCTTACACAAAAGGCAATGGACAAACATTGACGTAGCAATGCTTTAGCACTTTAATTATATTATATACTATCGTTTTGTTGTGCGCATCTTCAGTGATCAATTGAAATATGTGTATGCAGATATTCATATAAATACATCAAGAAAACAAATACATAGGAAAGAAATGATTAAAGAATTAAATGAATAACACAATTGGGAAAACGAACAACAAAATAGGAGATAAAAACAAAAACAAACTAAAACAACTCAAGCTTGAAATACATGTTCATAAGTATGTTCCTATAAATAAAAATATAATTAACGACATACATATAAGCGTACATAATAGCGACATGTTACATATGTATATAATGTTTGTATGAAGTCGCTGCGATATGGAATAATACAAAATCTCATATGGGTACATACGTGCATGCATATATACATATGCATATGCATATAACATCAGCAGGCAATGGAAAACCAAGGTGCATATATATATATATATATATATCAATGAAATTCTATAGTATATGGATTAAAATGGCAGATGAAATAACCAAAATGGAGTAACAGGAGAACAAGATATATGTATAAAGAACAAACGGAACAGGTAGATTCTGTTCAATGTTGTTGTTATTGTTGTTGGTATTGTTGGAGCGGTAGCTTCTGTTCAATGTAAGCCAATGCCTTCTAATTATAAATTCATTTCTGCTTTATAGATATTTTACTAATAAAATATACATGTATATATACTATAAATGAATTAAATATGTCCCAAAAACGAATGTAAAGAGGATGTTCCAGATACATAAAGAATGACATTTATTATTTCCTTAAAATGTATGTGTCTATAGACAGAATACGTATTGGAAAATAATATTATAGCAATAACAACTGTAAATTAAACTACCTACATAAAACAAGCATTGATTTTTGTCCTTAAGTTGCTTCTATAGAATTTCTATAATTCACTAATACCGAAAATGAGGTAAGTAAATGAGCGAACGAAAATTGGAAAAATTGACACGACCACTTAGTCATAAAGAAATGCTTTGCACAGAGTAATAAGAATGAGATGCTACCCTTATTGATTTTTCTTAACAAAAAAATGTATACAAACACGTACACAACAACATTTCTATCTCCAAATCCACACTCAATTCAGGGAACAAGTATACACTATTTTCCGGCATATACGACAAACATAAAGATTCCCTTTTGATAATGAAGGGCAATGCAATGCGAAATCTCGCCGATTTTATACACCTATTTTATGAAGCAAATATATGCATTTCAAATTAATTACACGTGCCTTCGCCATGAACATGTCTACATATAACAATATACATGTTGATATACATAGATACATACATATGTACCTATATTAGTCTGTTTGGCCACAAATGTGTATCTGAATATGAAGGATTGACCCAGCTGGTTAACTCCGTTTAACTTACCTTTGTAATAGCTATAGCTCTGAACATGTCTGCTATATTTTCTTTTTATTGTTGTTTCCACTTCGCCTCCCACTTTCTATGCATGATCTTTTTCCATGAATTCTACACTTGGTTGTTCGCCCTTTTCAATCTTACACCTTTTTTATTTGTATTTCTTTTATAACTTGTACCATATACGCTTTTAAGAATTTTGTTTTACAACACAGTTAGCACACATACACAGAGAACAACACAATTTCGTCGTTTGCGTTATAAATTCTTTTTTGTTCACTTTAAAAACCTTCTTAGAGTAGTATTCTTATAGTGGAGTTTCATATTTTTAATTAGAAATCACCATAAATATAGTCTCTGGAACGAGCACACCGATTATCGTCAAAAGGTGTTGGTGACCGTTTTTAGGGTACGGAAATAACGCGTATTTAACTTTAATATCGTTTTGGAACGTAACAAAAGCAACAAAAGATAATTAAAATATTTTCCACTGTTCTTCACTCACGCACAGATGATAAAGTAAAAAGATATGGAATAGTATTCCGTTTTTTCTTCTGTTGGAAAAATTCACCCAATTTATATATTGAAAAGGGGGTAGGCGAAGAGAAACAATTATATGGTAGTTGGCTAGTCCAAAAGTATATGTATTTCGTTTGTGTTGTTACTACTGTGCTGGTGCTGGTATTGATCTTACACCACCGTTTTGGGTGCAAGTATTCAAGATCCTTGAGTGAGAGTTAGCTGCTCCTTAAGAGAGTACGTTCCTGCCACTCATAGACGTTCAATGACACATTTGTTATTTCTTTTTTACTGATTTCCCCACGCACTCCTTCCAAAGCATGTAATGTGAGTGGTTCAACTGCTGAATGTGTATGTGATTGCGAGGTCGAACGACGGAGTCCCGTTCGTACAGGTCACACAAAAGAATTTTTGTATTCGATTTTCACCTTAAATCTGCTACGAATTATGCAACTTTTTACTCAAAATCGTTACTTCACTAGTTTGGGCAGACTTTTTCAGTGTTTTTTTATATTTTTAAACACTTTAATTATTATTAAAACAGCTGAAAATATTCTGCACCGAGATGAAAAATTACGACAACGTCTAGCTAGTATATAGTAATAGAGTAGACATTGTGACAATGGCCGACACAGGGTGTTTTCAATAAGAAGAAAAAATCTAGGTTTGTTCGCGTAGCTCTAACATATTCACTTGCGTATCATTTACGTTTTTTGGCCAGATTAACTTATGTTTGTTTGTACTTTTTCTAAATTTCGGTCCTAAGATTCGGTTTAAATGTTTGCTTGTGGCGGCAATAGAAACGATGAAAACAAATGACACAGTAGTAACAGTTACTGAGTAGAAATATTGCAACAATTTTATATATGGACATATTATTAATTTCAGGCTATTATCAAGTCTGTCAAATTTAACAATCAAGCCAATGAAAATAAGTCATATAACAACCACACTACGGGTTAAATTGATGAAACCTAAAACAATAATGGTTATTCAAACGTGAACACGCTTCATAATTCAATTGCTGATGTAAGTAAAACAATAGCGGAAGACCCGAATGTGTGAATTTCAACGAAGTTCTCCAAAGCTGAAAATTTCTTACGGCACATTATGGAGTAGTTTGCACTTGGACTTACATCTACATCCCTATATAATCCAGTTCACACACCAATTAAATCCAGCTGACCATTAACAACGCAGTAAATACGTCAATTGAGGACTTAAACAATAAGCAATGGACACTTATTTTCCGGGCTACAACGAAAGATGGTGTTTATGCAAATACAACTTTTGCAACCGTCAACTTTTCAGCACTTGGAGTTGAAATTTCGTCAAGTTATGGCAGAGATACCATTCAATATGTAATAATAACAATAATATAATATTTCACATACAATTCCACGATTCAAACTTTATTATAAAAAAGAAATTTCATGTGGAAAATTATTTTCTATGCATTTAATTTACATTGAGTTTCGAAACCGCAAAACGGATTGCTCTTTAGATTCGTAGACTTTCTTTGATAACGTGATCCAAAACGTTATCATTTATGCAGAAAGAATTTAACGAATTGCTCACTGAACAGGCCATAAGTGGTGCAACGCTGATTTTGTTTTCAATGTAAAATATTGCTGATATTCTTTACTAATAGTGGTTGATTTGTCAAATTATTTAGCTTTTAAAGTTAAAGCATTTATTTATTTATTGTAAAAATCAAGTAATCAATTTAAAATGGCGGAAAAAAATTCAGAACAGAGTATTATGGATAAATCCATGAGATCCGTTTTCGGTAAGTAAGATTATATACGGCAGGTGATATATTTTTTGTTCAAAACTAATTTGGCACGTTCTTTTGTACAGTGGGCAATATTCCATATGAGGCAACAGAGGAGAAGCTCAAAGAAATATTTAGTGAAGTAGGGCCTGTCCTTTCCCTTAAGTGAGTACACAAATCCCCTTGAATGAATCATGTTTATAACCCTTTTTCACATTACTGACGCCAGGTTGGTATTCGACCGGGAGAGTGGAAAACCAAAAGGCTTTGGTTTTTGTGAATACAAGGACCAAGAAACTGCACTAAGCGCTATGCGCAACTTAAATGGCTACGAAATAGGTGGACGAACACTTCGTGTAGATAACGCTTGTACGGAAAAGTCGCGTATGGAAATGCAGCAGTTGTTGCAAGGGCCACAAGTGGAAAATCCATATGGTGAACATTGTGATCCAGACCAAGCACCCGAAATAATAACAAAGACTGTTGCATCTTTGCCACCGGAACAAATGTATCTATTAATGAAAGAAATGAAATTATGCATACAGAATAATCCTTCTGAAGCTCGTCAAATGTTGATGTTAAATCCGCAATTAGCCTACGCTTTATTGCAATCTATGGTGGTTATGCGTATCGTTGATCCGCAGACAGCTTTGGTAAAAAAGCAATTACACAATGTTATTCTACTTATTAATCCAATATATTTTTGTAGGGTATGTTGTTTAAAGCAAACCAGATGCCGCCGGTTCTTGGTGGAAACCCATTGTCTGGCGGTGTGCAATCACAAAATGTGACATCAAATATAATGCAGCAACCACAACCACAACCGCAACCTTCTCAAGGAACACCAATGAGCGGTGGTCCACCATTGCCTGTACCTGGTCCTAATTTCAATGTTATGCAAGGTGGCGATATCGATTTACGTGCTATGAGCGGTCCGGTATTAGGTGGACCTGGTGTTATGGATCCAAGACAAATGGATCCACGTATGGCACGTAACATTGATCAGGATATGCGCGCAATGCCTAATCCAGTGCCCCCACCACTTATGGACCCTCGGGCGCAACGGCAAATGCCCCCACAGGTCAACCCACAACCATCATTTCCGACAGATCCACGGCAGCGGCAGATTGATCCACGTTTGCGTGGAAACACTGCTGGTCCATCTGGTGTATCTGGTCCGGTAATGTCACAGCAGCAACAAACTGCTCAGCAACAGCTTCAGAATCGTTTGGCTTCAAATTGTGGAATCCCAAACGATGCTACCGATCAGGAAAAGGCAGCACTGATTATGCAAGTATTACAATTATCGGATGAACAGATTTCACAACTGCCGCCAGAGCAGCGGGCCAGTATCCTTGTACTTAAGGAGCAGATCGCTAAGAGTACACAGCGTTAATAGTGCTTGTTACAGAACATGAGGTTTTTATGGCTAAATTTTTATTTTATTTAATAAAACCACCTAGTACTATGTGAGTTATAGATACTTCGGACATTTCAGACACAATAAAAACTGTAACATTCGATTTATAAAATATTTGTTATTTGAAACTCAAGAATGAGTGACCAGTGCTTGATGTAATTTTTGTACCGCTGTATTGACCACTTGCCGCAAATTTTCATCTTCCGGACAATGCACTTGCTAAAATAAAATGGATTCAATATAATAATAATAAGTTTTGTCTAAATTCAAGCTTACTAATGTGTCCAAGTTGACTTCGGCCCGTTTTCCTGCTACCGTAACTGGCAAGAGATCACCTTTGAACATTTTTGGCACGGAATGCTCGCCAAATGTATCCTGCAGAGTTTCTACCAAACACTCTCTGAAATGCGTGTTATCTGATTTGGATGTTGTTGAAGCACCCTTAATATTTGTACCACCCATTTCTGTTTGCATTACGCAGGCCAATACTGAATCGGCAAACATATCGTTTACAGGTGTAGCTTGCCATTCCATTATAATGATTTTACCCTCTACTAATAAGTCTATACATTTAAATGCACGTAAACGTTTCTCTTCTTCTAAAATCTCCGTTGTACCAACACCACCAATTCGATCTAGAAGTAGTTTTAGGGTACCTAATGAACTATTCCATGGAATGGATTGTCTTTGTGTTACAACGGACATACTCATGTCGGTGTATTCTGCAAGGATGTGAAAAAATACTGATGTTAAAAAAAAAAACATTCCGTAAATAACTCACTAGATAGATCAGAGGCAGCAAGAAGGTGGTATTTAAAGTCACGCTTCACGAGGACTCCGGATAATTTGTTGCCCGCCTCCGGCTTGGTCGCCGCCAAATTGCCCATAACTTTGGCTGTTTTTTCGCCACGGAAGTACAGCTCAACGGAATGTGTGTTACGGGGGTTATAGAATTTTATGGTGGTAGAAGTATCAGCCTCATATTCTCGTTGCAGAGCCATTTTTAGACGAGACATTTCATTCTGTTCTCCATGCACCAATACCTAAAAGATTTATATTTAACAAATTAATAGGTAGTAAATACATTTTAAAGAAAAATATTGAAAAGCAAACTAACCACATGTTGCGGCTTTAGTAAACGTATAAATTCACTAGTTTGTTGGTAATCAGTATGGGCGGAGAATGAAATATAATCCACAGACATATTTAAGGGTAGCTTTTGCCCAGCCAAGGTAGTTATTTCTTCTGGCTCAGAAAGTATGGACTTAGCCAAGGTGCCCTCAACGCAGTAACCTGCAATGATGACACCATTCTTTGGATCTGTGCACCAGTTTTCGAATAGTTCTCGTGATAAACCGCTTTGCATCATACCAGGCGAGGCCATTACTACACATGGCCCGATATCGTCAAAGTGATCTATACCCTTCAGATTGGATATGTGCCGAAATACAAATGGATTGTTCACAGCGATTTGACGTCGAATTTTATCGTTCATTGCATTAATATAGGTCTGATACACCGCCATACATTTTTTAGCCAATGATGAGGCATAGTAAATGGGTATCTCATGCAATTCGGGATTTTGCGACCAATATTCATCCAATATAAGTAGCAATTCTTGGGCACGTCCTAAAGCAAAAACAGGTATCAAACAGCGTCCACCTTGTTGTACAATCTTTTGCACTAATGAAGTGAATCGATTTTCACGATCTTCACGTTTTTCGTGAATATGAGTGCCATATGTAGACTCAGTTATGAGTACATCTGGTTTAATGGGAGGGATCTCGGCTGCCATTAAATGTCTATCTTCTTGTCGGGAAAAATCGCCAGTGTATAAAATTTTTACGCCCGCAATTTCAATCAGAAACATAGCAGCTCCGAGAACGTGCCCTGCATTATAAGCACAGAAACGAACACCCATTACATCGCGTTCCTCATGAAAATTGATTGTTTCTATCTTTTCCATCGATGCCTCCAAATCAGCTTCCGTGTAGAGCATCTGCTCAGTGGAAATATTACTAATTTTTATATAATCCGATAACATCCAACGATATATAGCTTTTGTGGCGTGCGTCATAAAACATCTACCACGGAAGCTCGTCTTCATAAGAAACCATGGCAGGGCGCCACAGTGATCCAAGTGAAAACTGTATGATTTACGATGAATTATATTCGCAAATTTTTTTCAAATATTCCTTCTACTCACTGTGATATGAAGAGGAGATCAACTTCATCAGCTTCTATTAAATCCACATACGGTAATGCGTCCATTCCGGATAAACCTGGATGTATGCCACAGTCAAGCTAGTGTTTAAGAAATTTATTTGAATTTCACCATTTCAAAAAAATTTAGGACTTAAAGCATACCATAATTTTCTTTCCTTTAAAGTCCAACATAATACAAGATCTTCCAACTTCTTGACCGGCACCACTATATTTGAACGTTAGTTATTTTATGTGTATTTTTTAAATATGACTACTTACAGTGGTTTTATTTGTAATAGGTCACTTTCTTCTGCTGGAACCCTCTCATCATTTCTTTGTGACATTTTTTTTATTAAGTTTCTTAATATTTAAGAACTTTTAGTAAAAACACGCGTTATACAAAATGTAGAAATAGGAATATGAGGATTATGGACGCCAAACGCTCATATGAGAAACATCGTAAAATGTCAACAACAGCTGTTCGACAACTTTGAAAAGGTTACAGTATTCAATCAATTACAAATATATACCAACTGACATTTTTTAACTAGTGAACATTTTGACAAAGAAAACTAGAAATCAAATTGGTATAATTATCAAGTTATTTAGTAAATTTCGTAATTCGAGGGGAAAAAATAAAATAAATAGAAATTCAAATGAGCAAATTAACGGGCGCAAAAGCATGACAGTTGGCTAACTTCTGGCGTTGCGTTGCTGTCCGAGTTGCTTATGCGAGAAATTTCGTAAAATTTGGAGCTAAATGTTTTGGACGTCTATGGGTTTATGACGCTCTCTATGTAAAAAATAATATTAACTTTGGGAAATAACAAAATATTTGACTGTTATTCAACAACACAGTGATCGAACTCGAAGAACTTGTAAAATCAGCGTAGTTAAATTTAGCAAAATTGTTATAATAATAAAGGTCGATTGGCATAAAAGTTGCTTCCACTTGCTTGACAGCTGAAACTTTGAGGAAAATCAAAAGTCACAATGAAACTTAAGAATGGGGCGACATTTTGACTTTTTAAATTTAAATTAACCAATATGAAATGTTTTGTAGTGAAATTGCCAAAAACGAATTCCAGGAGAGAAGTGGATCTCACAATACTTTGTGTGTTTTGTTATTTTTACATGTATATGAAGCTTTCAATGTATGGGTTTGTGATATTTGCTCAACTTCAATTTCTGGATTTTTGCAAAATTTGACTTCGAGACTTCATGAAACTGTTTGTTGATGAAAAGTTGAAGGAAAGAGGGGTTTGCATGCATTACATGTTTTTGTTGCTTTTATGCTTATTCTACTTTTCTTTATTGAAATCAAATATTCTAGAATATTCTAGAATCTTCTGGAATGTTTAGAATATTTTAGAAATATTTTTGGAAATAAGGCAGAGCTGCAATCGAGACTGCGAGAAACAATGGAAGTTGATGGCATCGACTTGAGCCAGTACGAGTTCCATCGCGAGGATGAAGATGTATCCTTGAAGGACATGGACAAGGAAGAGGCTGATGGTTCTGTGAAGGAGTTGGAATCACCATCAAGTAAGATTCAAGAAAGGGCTCCTGGCTCATCTAAGGGTATTGACATGAACATGTTATTGACTGCGATCTCACAAAATATGTCTGAAATGAGAGCCAGCATCTCACAAAAGATGGATGCACAAATGCTTGAACAGAGAGAGCAGATATCATCCTTGGAAGGAACAATAGCGCAAACACAGCAAAATCTGGTGAGGAACAGCGCGGAACTTAAGGAAAGGCAACATCTAATTGAGTTCGAAGTCAACATTGAAAAGTCGTGTCCGGGAATTGCAGTTAAACGTCCCACCGTTTCAGTGAACGCTCCGAGGGTAAAAACACCATCTTTTGACGGGAAAATTCCATTTCAAGTCTTTAAGCTCCAATTTGAGAAGACAGCTGAAATAAACAACTGGAGCATAGAGGAAAAATCCGCTGCACTATTCGTTGCATTGGAAGGACCTGCAGCCGAACTTTTGCAAACCATATCCGTAAACGAGAGAAACAATTACGACGGATTGATGCGAGCGCTGGAAAGACGCTATGGTACCGAATTCAGAAGACAGATTTACCAGATGGAGTTAGAAAAGCGCGACCAAAAACCCAACGAATCTCTGCAGGAATATGCTTCGGAAGTTGAGAGATTGGCTCATTTAGCCATTGGAGACACATCGGGTGAGCATCTTGAAAGGGTGAAGATACAAAGATTCATCAGCCGAATAAAAGACGTGTACACCAAGCGGGAGACATATGCAAATCCAAAGTTGACATTCGCTGAAACTGTTGCGTATGCACAAACACGTGAAACGGCGGCACTCATAAGCAGACCATCCTACATAGTCTGAAAGAGAACTCTGAAATCGCTAGAAGGGTTGAATCGTTCTGGTTTCAAAACTGAAGCGAAAAAATGCTTTAAATGTGGGAAGCCTGGTCACTACGCACGCGAATGCAAAACAAGTTCCAGCAGACAGGAGGTACGGCGAAAACGGAAGGCGGAGGAAGATGAACCATCAACTTCTCAATCGTTAAACTAAAACGAGCCAGCCTAAAGGGGCGTAAGCTGGCTCCTGCAATTGAATGCCCCATAATTCCCGTATCGCGAATTGGCGGAAAACCGAGCAACATTACTATTGGTGGATATGTCGATGGACGAGAGCGAATCTTAACAGTGGATACTGTCGCATCACACTCCATTATTCGAACTAATCTGATCGCTAAAGAAGTGAGACCATTACCTGGAGCAATATTGAAAACGGAGACTGGTGAGGATAGCCAAGTGGTGGGGGAAGTAACGTGTGAGGTTACAGTAGACAATGTTACGGTGCTACACAGCTTTATCGTCGCGCAGATTGTAGATGAGGTAATCATAGGAGTGGACTTCTTGATGGATCAAGGTATCAAG